TCCTCATTGTAATACTTTTATTTTCATGGACTCCCAGGCCCTGTTGGTCTTGGGAAATGATAGTAATGGCCAAGATTTTATTACATTTCGGTTACCCAAAACCTGAACACACTATCTTCTTATCTTGAAATTATTCTCAGATTTTTTTACTTTATTTCCCCCCTTAATCCCATTGGCTAAAAAAAGTAGGAACTCTTACTAAATATAATAACTGCATCAGAGCTCCAACAAATGACAGGGCAGGTTAGAGCGCTGTACTCTGGCTTATTACAGAGGTACCCAAGTGGTGGTTGGGTTCTCTTTCATTTTGTTCTGCTTGACCAGCAGCTGGAAATCCCTGAGTGAACACAGTAAAAGAATTTCACCTTGTGGCGCTGCCAAAGGAGTCATTGAAGTTTTACGGTCTGATGTGTGTTGTGCAATAGATGAATGAGAATCAAATGAATGGCATGTGACTCGCTTGGTCCTTCATCTGCTGCACACTTCTGTTTTATTAAGATTAGTCCTCCTGAGACAGCTTTTCTAGAAGCCGTGCTTTGGCGAAGTCTCTCTCATTGCTATGAAGTTGTGTGCCAAGAAGAGATAACTGCTATAAAAATTTAATAGGTACAAGAAACGTCTCTGTATAAGTATAACTAACTGTCAGACCCTTTCCCCCCCACTGGAGTAAGTGAGAAGACCAGGAAAAAAGAAAGATCATGAGACCCATGAGGTTGAGGTTTGCTGAGCCAGCAATGACTCATAAAAGTTGGACTGTTTGAATAGCTCTCAACTGGAATTATATGATGGTTTCTGTAATCTGAAGTAGCAGTCCGTGCTTGAATCTTTTCCTAATGAACACTAGTCTTTGCTTATGTAAATTCAGTTAGGAAAAAAGACTCAGTTCAGGTAATCAGCTTTGTTTGTCTAAATAAGATACTAACTTCACCTTTTAGTGGTTTGAGGATGGGAAGGTTGCTTTTAGGAAAACTCAGTGATGTCCTGTTGTGTTTAAAAAACAGAAAGTTGTCGGCCAAGTGTGGCTCAGTGGTTGAGCATTGACCTATGAACCAGGAGGTCACAGGTCGTTCCCCAGTGGGGGGCCATGCGGGAGGTAGCCAGTCAATGACTCTCTCTCATCATTGATGTTTCTATCTGCCCCTCTCTCTCCCTTCCTCTCTGAAATCAAAAATATATTTTAAAAAACAAAAACTAGATGGAAACTCCTGACAGATTTAGGTTCGGTGAATATGTACATGAAAATTTCATGTTTAATCATTTTGAATTTTTAGTTTGAATTCAAGGTATTAAGCCAGTGGTTCTCAACCTTCCTAATGCCACGACCCTTTAATACAGTTCCTCATGTTGCGGTGACCCCCAACCATAAAATTATTTTCGTTGTTACTTCATAACTGTAATGTTGCTACTGTTAGGAATCGTCATGTCAATATCTGATATGCAGAATGTATTTTCATTGTTACAAATTGAACATCGTTAAAGCATAGTGATTAATCACAAAAACAACATGGAATTATATATGTGCTTTCTGATGGTCTTAGGCGACCCCTGTGAAAGGGTCGTTCAACCCCCAAAGGGGTCGTGACCCACAGGTTGAGAACCGCTATACTAAGCAAAGGTATAGGGGCCAGAAAATTATTACAAAATGTATGAAGTGTTGTACATTTTTCACTTGCTCTCTATTCCACCAGTGGTTTCGAGAACTCTGATCTCTCTGTGCATCTCTTAGTTCCCTTGCAGGCTTTGCTTCAGTCTCACTGCTGGGCCCCTCCCTCTTCTTTTGTCCTCAGATGGATTTCACTCCAAATTACAATCTTCAACATATCAGAGTTTCCTTCTCAGTCTATATACATCTCTTGGATGAAGAATCTTTCTTCAGAGAAAACAATACAGAGAAGTTCAAAATGTAAAACCAAAAACAGAGTTGCACTAGTGAATGAGGTGACCCTCCCCCCGTAAATTTTGATATAAATAAATCTAGGATTCCATGAAACTCAATTGAAAACTGGTGGCCAGACTTCATGGTTTCAGCCATCCCTTATATATATTATTGTCACCCATGTCTGGGCTGCTGGGATAGTCCTCTAACATTCCCACTTTATATATTCAGTGGTCAACTGGGAATTCTTTTTCTAAACATCCTGTAACAGTTATCTTTCTAAAGCAAAAATCAGATCATGACCTTTATTTGTTTACATACTTCCATAGCCTTTAATGAACACAAAGTCTCAATTCCTTAACACAGTCTTCAAGGGCTCACAGAATCTGACCATACTCCATCCAGTTTCATCTCACCATTATCTCCACCTGCTCTGCTTATGGTACCACCCCCCATATCTACTTTCTACCTCTCCATCCTCATTCGTACTCTACTTACAGTGAAGCTCCTCATCTCCTCTGTGAGTTAAAATATACTTACCTTTGAAGTTTCACTTTACCTTTGTGAAACTCCATTTCTTGCTTGCTGTCACTTAGCATGTATTTATTTTTTTATCCATCGATCCAGGAAATTCTTCTGAAGTATCTAGTATTCTGTTTCATATAGGCTTAAAACATGTGATTTTTTAAAAAACTGACATCAATTCATTGAAAGACCCTTGAAGCATTTTGACTAAATTTTACCTACATTGAACATCACTTGGACAACTGGTAAAGTTTCAGATTTCTTTTGGAGTCACCTGGTGGTTTGCTTCTCCAGGAGGGAGAACTCTGCGGTTGATGCAGACCCGAATAGAAGACGCTGGCCAGTACGCTTGTGTCGTAAGGAATGCAGCTGGTGAAGAAAGAAAACTCTTTGGACTTTCAGTATTAGGTATTTATATAAACTGCAGTACCTAAAAAAAATCAAATTGGCTTAAGTGCCTTTTGGAACCAGAGTTAGAATTTATCTACAGCTTGATCTCACATTTATGTATTCTTTGGTCCCTGGAAACACTGTTGAAAAGAATTCAATGTTACAGTGATTTGAAGATAATCATTTGGGTTAAAATGGTTAAAACTTTATATCTTGTTTGTTCACAATTATTCAATAATATGCTAAGACTCTCTGAAAACTTGTTTAATAGGAGTGCTGCTTAGAGTAGGAAAAATAAAGGTTTAGTAAATGTTCTTTCTTACTCGCTGATTTGTTGACATTTTTATCTGGACTTTATGATTTATTTTACAATAAAATTCATTATGTAATTGAATTCATGACATATTACTTTAGAATATATTATAAAATGGAGTTAATCAAAATAATATTATGATATTATTCTAGTAATCAATTAATGAGAATTTGGGGTTTTGCTTTAAAGGTTATATCGAAATAAAAATATGAACCTAGATCTCTCTAAAGTAACAGCCCTGTGGTAAGAATTATTACCTTTTGTGTTTGGTATTTTCTCAGTGCCGCCTCACATTGTGGGTGAAAATACATTGGAAGATGTGAAGGTAAAAGAGAAGCAGAGTGTTACACTGACTTGTGAGGTGACAGGTAAGGTCCTGAGCCCCCTGCTTCTCCTTTGCCCCCACCCCTCACTGGTTATTCATTGCCTCCACTACATATCTTACTTAGCTGAGAAAAATTCAAGCTGCTATAATATGTATTTGAAATGAGGGGAAGGAAAGAAAAAGGAAAGACACACTGGCCTTTTCTTTCAGTTCAATAAACCAAATTTTTTAATCTGCTATTTGAATGTCGGGTTTCTCTGCCTCATCGCCTCTTATTTTGTTTTCCTCTCTGTTGGTTGAAGGCTGTACCTCCTTTTCTTTTCCTGTTTTCTCAAATTTCATTTCAAAGAAATAAGTAGGAGTGTTGGTGGGAGGGTGGCATTACTGATACTGGGGATTACCCCAAAGCAAAAGTCTCACCGTTTGTTAAGACATTTAATTTTCAGGTTTTTTATTTGTGAATTTTCCAGCTTTCCTCCTGTTGCTGACTTCTAGTTTCAATCACTGTGGTCAGAAAAGACTCTTGGTATGATTTCAATCATCTTAAGTTTGCTAAGACTAGTTTTGCGGTCTAAGATATTATCTATTCTAGAAAGTGTTCCATGTGCCTTTGAGAAGAATGTCTGTTCTGCTGTTGTTGGATGGAATACTCTGGCCATGTCTGTAAGGCCTATGGTGTTTTTCAAATCCTCTGTTTTGCTATTATTCCTCAGACTGGATGATCTGTCCATTGTTGAGAGTGGGGTATTAAAATCCCCAGCTATTATTGTAGTGCTGTATACTTTTCCTTTTAGATCTGGTAGTATTTTCTTTTTATATTTAGGTGCTCTGCTATTGTGTGCATAAATACTGTTATATCTTCTTGATGAATTGACCCCTTTTTCATTATATAATAACCTTCTTTGACTTTTGACCACTTTTTTTAAAGTCTGTATTGTCTGATAATAAGTATAGCCACCCTTGCATTTTTTGATTACCATTTTCTTTAAATATCTCTGAACATCTGTTCACTCTCAGCCATATGTATCTTTAAAGCTTTGGTGAGTTTCTTGTGAGCATATTGTGACATCTTGTTTTTTTAGCCATTCAAGCATTCTGTCTTTGTATTAGAAGTTTTAATCCATTTACATTTAAAGTAATTAGTAGTAAGCAAGGACTTACTATTGCTATTTTGTTCATTGTTTTGTAGATCCTTTGTTCCTTCTTCTTATCATGCTCTTATTTTGTCATGTGATGACCTTGAACGGTTCACAGATTCTTTCTCCTCTTTGACCAAGTCTGATGTTGATGCACTCTTTTAAAGTCTTCTATTTAGTCCATTTGTTCTTTAACTCCAGGATTTGTTTGGCTTTGTTGATGACTTCTTTTCCTTTGTTGAACTTCTCGTTTTGTTCATGCATTGTTTTCCTAACTTTGTAAAGTCGTCATTTTTGTGCTTCACTAAACTTCTTTGAGAGGACTATTCTGAATTCTTTCTCAGACAGTTCATTGATCTCCATTTCCTTATGGATGGATATTGGAGCTTTATTAGTTTCCTTTGATGGTGTCATGTTTAACCATGTGTTTTTTTTATGTTGGTATCTGTGCATTTGAGTAAAGGTTCTCTTCTTCCAGACTTCACAGGCTTATTTCAGCAGAGACAGCCCTTCACCAGTCAGCACAGCTTGGAGCTCTGGACAGGTTAGCTGGTTGTGTCCTTGGCCAGGTGGAGCTCTCCATTAGGCTCTGGGTGAGGCCACTGCCTGAGCTTTGAGGTTGGGGTGGGTGTTGCTGTTGGCTAGGAACAGTTGGACAGGACTGTTGGCTTTGTTCCCTGCACACATGCAGCTGTAGGATAGGCTCCATCATTGCCTGGATTCCCAGGTAAGACTTCCTAGTTGGGCAGGCCTGGTTGCTATCCTCAGCAGTTGGGCAGGCAGTTGCTTCCCTGCCCGGGCAGGACCATAGAGCATGATCCACAGCCAGTATAGCCGAGCCTTCCAGTTTTACTATAATATCATACTATCCATCTTTCCTAACATAACTTGCTTTATGGTTTTAAATTATAAATTTAAAAAAATCTCTTCAAGTAATTTAAAATTTAATATTGAACATAAGTTCCATGTTAAAATTAAAATAAAATATATTTACCTACAGGCTATAAATATTAAAGGAATGATTACTTTATATGTCTACCCATCTATAGATCTATGCTGGAATCCCGGTATAAACTCAAAATATCTGCTTATTAGATTATTTAATTAAATGTTTTTCCTTTTATATAGTTATCAAGATTATAAAATATTATTTTAACAATTAATATGAAAGCAAAGGTATTGTGAACTACATGCTCCATTCTTTTTTTAAGTGTATTTTACTCTGAAATCATTTCATTTTAATAGTCAAAGGCAGTGGTCGGCAAACCGCGGCTTGCGAGCCACATGCGGCTCTTTGGCCCCTTGAGTGCGGCTCTTCCACAAAATATCACATGTGGGCGTGCGCGTACAGTGCGATTGAAATTCTGTGGCCCATGCGCAGAAGTCGGTTTTTGGCCTGGGCAAGTCTATTTTGAAGAAGTGATGTTAGAAGAAGTGGGGGTACGTTCGCTGAGGTCGACCCCTCAGATTGAGGACGTTTTTAGCAAAGGCCAGCTTAGGAGTACCCTAATTAAGTAAATAACAATGTACCTACCTATATAGTTTAAGTTTAAAAAATGTGGCTCTCAAAAAAATTTTCAATCGTTGTACTGTTGATATTTGGCTCTGTTGACTGAGTTTGCCGACCATTGGTAAGGTCTGATAAAAACTAATCTTGATTTGAAAATTATTTTTAAGTTTTGTACAGTTTTATGATAGCATTATTATTATTATTATTATTATTATACATTAGGTTATGTTTGAAATTTATTTGGGTATGAATGGTTACTGCATTGTTTCAGAAATGGGATATTTAAAAAGGCAAATGAGTAAAATGCCTTCTTTCAGTTGTTACTTGTAGATATATGAGCATAGCCAGCTCTCAGAAATGGCTTTTTTGTTACAGGGAATCCAGTGCCAGAAATTACATGGCACAAAGACGGGCAGCTCGTCCAAGAAGATGACACCCATCACAGTATGTCTGGTGGCCGTTTTCTTCAAATTACCAATGCCCAGGTGTCACACACTGGAAGATATACATGTTTGGCTTCTAACACAGCTGGTGACAAGAGCAAAAGTTTCAGTCTTAACGTGTTAGGTAAGTAGAAGCATTGCTTCAAGTCTTGAAGACTCAGACATGACCATAGGCTAAATTCTCTTCTTTTTATGTTTATTAATATTTCTATCATAGGATTTCATTATTTAAGGAAGACCAGTGCTTACAGACATTTGCTGTGTGTGTGTTTTTTTTTAATTTTTTTAATGAGTTCACACATTCATTCATTCATTATATTTGGAATACGTATTATGTTCTAGGTACTGTGTTTTATGTTGGGTACACAACTCTGAGCAAGATAGATGTTAAATATGCAGTAATAAAGCATAAATATATGCGGGTCAAAGAGAAGCAGGTCAAAAGCAAAAGGGGCTCAATCAACCTGAGATAGCCTATCCATTCTTTGTGGGACTCTGCCATTATTGGCAATTGTCTGTACTGAAATCTACGTTTGCTACCTAAGGTGGCAAAGGCTACCCTGTTGGTAGATCCAACAGGTATTTTACAGTTGGACTCTTAATGGTTTGAACACTATCACTTTCTCCTTGACAGGGTTCTTCCCTAGTTACCCTTGCATACCTTTGGTTGCTCCCTTTCTCTGTCTCTTATAGACTCTTATTTAATCTGTGTCCTAAACATTAAGTCCCCATCTCTTAAACGTTTTGTCCTTACTTCACTGCTCATTTACTCCAGATATTCTCTTCAAATAATAAACTTAACTCCAAGAGGTTTGATTATCCTATAGACGGGTGACTTTTTAATCCATACCTGCGATCCAGATCTTTCTCCCAAGGTTTGGATTTCTATATACAATTTCTTATTGGGTATTTCTCTTGGTAATTCTCTTGGGCACTAAAAAGTCAAGATATTCAGACCTGAACAAACCATCTTTCCCTTCTAAATGAGCAAATCTTTCTATATTTTTCATTTATGTTGCTTCACTGCTGTTTATCTAGGTTCCCAAGCAAGAACATTGGAAATTATCTTTGACTTTGGTTTCTCATAACCCCCAAATTCTATTATCAGTTCCCACCCATTGACTTCCTAAATATATTTTTTAGGTGCTCCCTCCTTTTTATGCCTTCTTTAAATGCTCTAGTTCAGTCCTTCGTTATCTTTTATGAAACAAATGGACCTGTTTCTGTTGCCCTTGCTTCCAATATTGACCCCCATGAATCCGTCCTCTGTGTTTCTGGCTTGCCCCTTATTGTTTACACTCCTCTGCTCCCAATGTGTTGTTCCCTCTTCCTATTTCTCTGCCTTCTTTCACCTTTTAACTAGCACTATCCTTTAAGCTCACTTTGAAATCTCCTTTAGGAGGCCTTCCTTGAGGGGAGTCCTCACACCTCAAACCCAACATTGGATTGAATGCTCTGCCTCTATATATCCTGCGCCAGAGTTCCCATTCTTGCCCTTATCACATTGTGTCATGATTCCTTTTTAATGTCATTCTTTCCATTACCCTGGGAGTCTTTTGAGGTTCTCACTGCTTTTGTGTAGAATAAGAACAATAATCAGTTGTTCTGTGAAATTGGTAGAGAATGGAATTACACAAGTAAGTACAATGGAAATTTAGAAATGCACAAATAGAGATTTACTAAATATAGTTCTTTAAATTTTAAATCTTTTTTAGTATCTCCTACAATTGCTGGTGTCGATAGTGATGGCAGCCCTGAGGATGTCGTTGTTATCCTTAATAGCCCCACATCCTTGGTCTGTGAAGCTTATTCATATCCGCCAGCTACCATCACCTGGTTTAAGGATGGAACTCCTTTAGAATCCAACCGAAACATTCGTATTCTTCCAGGTAATTAGTTTCCTTCAGATGCCTGAGGTGCATTTGTGCCATCTACTGTGGTAGCAAAGCAGCATCATTGGAGTTTTGTTACTGACGTATTTATGTTCTTGGTTATGTTATGTTCTATTGATACTTTAATTTATAAAATTATTTGTATATGTACTGTAATCTAAGGTATCTGAAATTACTTTTTGAAAGACTAATAAAATATCTAAATAAAAAGGCAAATAAATACCACAATGTAATTAATTGCTAAAATATATGGAATGCCAAAAAAAAAAGGTAGAAATTTATTTGTTGTTGAATTGAGCCTTGAAGGTTAGTATTTCAATTGAGTTTATTTATTCCTCACTAATACCTGGCAATATGTATGAAAATAGAAAGAATTAAAAAGTATGATCACTGGCCTTAAGAAATTTACAGTCTTATGTGGAGGAGAGATAAAACATGTGAAAGTTAATTAACAACATGAATGCATGAATACTCATGGGTTATGAATAGTCATGGGGCATGATTAATGGAATAGTCACAAGTTTTAGAGGAGTCACAAGAAGGAATGGCCAGTGTGAGCTGAAGTGGTTAGGAAATGCTTAGCTGCAGTCAGAACTTGAACCAGGCCTTAAAGAAAAGTTATAGAAATTCTTTGTTTGGAAATGAACTAGGAGAGATTTCAGATCTATCGCGATGACTAAGGTGGGAAAGGTATAAGGTGAAAATAGCCTATTTATGTGCAAGTAATAATAATTATACTCCTCCCTCCCAAACAAGTGGAGACACTGTGTATATGTGTGTTGTGTGTGTCTACTAAACGGGGGGGCAGGTAGGAGGAAAGATCAGGAAGGAAGGTTAGAGTCATGTTTTGAATGCCTGGATTAAAGAGTTTTGACTTTACTCTTTAGTCAATTGAGAACCATTGAAGATGTTTAAGGAGAAATGTACCATAATAAAAACTGTATTTTAGCAAGACCAACCTCTACTGATAGGCCAGGTAGATGAGAAGGAGAAGATGACTAAGAGGGAGAGACCTCGTTATAAAGAGAGTGAAGTAGGGACCTTAGCTAGTCTGAGTACAGAGGCATGGGAGGGTCAGAATGAGCCTGAGGTGGTCATGCAGCGGCCATCTGTTTCGTACTTTGTCTTGTGTTCAATACCTATTACAGAATTGGCATATAGGAGAAAAATATACCAATAGTAAGAATTACAACCTTGGTAGTTTGTGCATGCTCTGCCGCCGCCGTGATTTCAAAGATTCTTTGGTGTCCCATGATTTTTCAGGAGGTAGGACTCTGCAGATCCTAAATGCACAGGAGGACAATGCTGGAAGATACTCCTGTGTAGCCACGAATGAGGCGGGGGAAATGATAAAGCACTACGAAGTGAAGGTCTACAGTAAGTTCTGAGAGAGCACTATGCTTCATTTTTCCCCAAGTTGTCTCACTCTTCCAACTCTGTTTTTATGGGTCCATAATTATTTATACTCATTATTAAAGTTTGATGTTTATGCAGCTTGCTTCATTAAGATGGATGTTAAATTAAACATGGTGCCCATGACCTCGATTGCTTAATGACATAAAGAGCCAAATCAGTCTGCTTACAAATATCTTGGAGAATTTCTCAGTGGCACTTCCTTAAGTTTCTCTATTTTTCCTTCTCAATTACCCTCTGGGCTAAGTTATAGTACTTTTGTGCATAAAACAGTTGTTTGAATACATATGCTCTCATCAGCAGTGTAGGATGAGTTCATCAGTGTACTGTACATTGACCTATAAATAAAAAGCAAAGCTATCCATCAAACCTCAGAGGGAAGGTAGGGGAGGGCGGGGGTAAAGGGGAGAGATCAACCAAAGGACTTGTATGCATGCATATAAGCCTAACCAATGGACATAGACACCAGAGGGGTGAGGGCATGAGTCGGGAGAGGAGGAAGGGGGTCAATGGGGGAATAAGGACACATGTGTAATACCTTAATCGATAAAGAAAAAATAAATAAAATAAATTGGGGGGGGAAGCAAAGCTAATATGAGTATTAATAATACCAGCATATCAAGATTTTGTTGTGTTTTTTTTTTAAAAAGGGAGAATATCTTTCTGATTGTCTTTGGTTCTTTGAGTTGGTCTCTTTAATGACCGATAAAATGCATTTTATGGGTTATGCTCACACTGTGTCTGGGAACCGGAAACCAATGCAGCTAACTGTTCTGGAAAGGACATTGGCCTCGTTGTCAGTGTTATAATGACAAAGGGAGAATGATATTTTCCTTCATAATCTGTATCTGAACATGACCCTTTCGTACGACCCTAACTTGGGTTCTTGATGAAAGGGAGCATAGAAAATGCTTCAGTTATTTCCTTGTTTTTTCTTATAAAGTGATCCTCCGTGTGATTTTCATGGTATTCCATGTATTTAATATTTGTTTTTATGCAGTTCCACCCATAATCAATAAAGGGGACCTCTTGGGACCAGGTCTTTCGCCAAAAGAAGTGAAGATCAAAGTTAACACCACCCTGACCTTGGAATGTGAAGCCTATGCAATTCCTTCTGCCTCTCTCAGCTGGTACAAGGATGGACAGGCCAGTCACAAGATTTTTCATTTGCTGATGGTTTCTTACCGATTAAAGTGGTCAATTAAACAGTAATACTAGTAAAAGAGACACAAGTAACTCAGAGAATCCATGTGGCCTTAAAACTAGCACAATCTCATGCTCCTAAGAATATAAATCTGCAAAAAAAAGAAAAACCCAAAACAACTTTAACTGTGTTCAACAATATTAGTATTATTCCATCATTGACAAGGGTTGTCTTTGTGTACATTTGCAGTTGTCCGTGAAAATTCAACCACCTTCCCACTGGGGAACGGTTTTAGTGTTCTTTGGTTTTACATAGTAAATAAACTTCATAGAGAAGAAACACACACAAAAAACAGTGCTAAACCAGCTTATAACAGGCATAACGTGGGGACTAAGCTTAATCAGAACTTTCTGTAAACATCTTTAACTCTTACAAAAGGTAACATTTTTAACCTTCCAAGATGCAGGGGAAAGCTAGATGTGATGATTAAGTGCCCCACATAATTAATTAGGGGCAATGAGAAACTTTTAAAGAAAAAGCACATCTTTCAGTTATGTGATCTCTCAGACCACATCAC